GGAGGGGCCGCACTTGTGGGAAGTGTGGCAAGGTTCATGAGGGTGCTTGCCGATCATCTTCTGGGTGCCACAATTGTGGCCGACAGGGCCATATGGAGAGGGATTGCCGCCAGCAGGCCCAACACTTAGTTTCTAGGATTTGTTATCATTGCCAGGTTAGCCATGTGCAAGCCAACTGTCCCTCGCTTGCTTCTAGGCCAGTGCAGGCTCCAGCGCCTACTACTTTGAAGATCACTGATGAGAGTCAGGGCAGGGTGGATCCCCTGAAGGCTTGAGGTCGCGTTTTCCAGCTCACTGCCACGGAGGCCAGAGCAGCTCCAAATGTTGTGACTGGTATGTTTCTATCCATTATTCTGTTGATTATGTTTTATTTTATGCTTATCTATTGTGCCTATGTTAGGTACGTTCCTAGTGAAATCTTTGCTTGCTTTAGTGTTGTTTGACTCGGGTGCGATTTGCTCCTTTGTGTCTCGATCGTTCAGTAGATGGTTTGATATGCCCATTGGGGAGCAATAGTGTCCATTGCGAGTTTCTATCGCCAATGAACACGGGGTTTCGACATCGTCAGTGTATCAGGGTTGTATTCTGGAGATCTTCGGGATACCTTATCCGATCGATTTGATCAATATCTCCATGGGGGATGTTTGCGTGATTGTGGGTATGGATTGGCTTATCCGTTTCGGTGCTATGATTTATTGTGAGGGCCAACGCGTGATAGTTTGAACCCCAAGTGGGGGAGAACTGGTTATCTATGGAGAGGGCAGCATGATGGGTTTAGGGTTTTGTTCAGCAGCCAAGGCTTGTCATTATATTCAACATGGGTGTGCGGGTTTCTTGGCTTACGTGGTGGATACGCGGGTTGGGGATCAGGTTTCAGTTTCAGAGGTCTCGGTGGTCAAAGAGTTTGCAGATGTGTTTCCGGAGGAGTTACCCGGTGCGCCTCCTGAAAGGCAGGCTGAATTCAGGATTGACTTTGTGCCAGGTGCGACCCCGATTTCTAAGGCGTTGTACCTCTTGGCACTGCCTGAGATGCAGGAGTTGTCATCTCAGCTGCAGGAGCTGCTAGGCAAGCAGTTCATAAGACCGAGCAGTTCTCCGTGGGGAGCGCCGATTTTGTTCGTCAAGAAGAAGGATGGTTCACACCGGATGTGCATTGATTACCGGGAGTTGAACAAGTTAACGGTGAAGAACCTTTATCCCCTTCCGTGGATTGATGACCTTTTTGATCAGTTTCAGGTTGCATCTTGGTTCTCCAAGATAGATCTGAGGTCCAGATATCATCAGGTCAGGGTGAGAGAGGAGGACGTGGAGAAGACCGCGTTCCGGACTCATTATAGGCATTACGAGTTCGTGGTGATGCCATTTGGGCACACCAATGCACCTGAGTATTCATGGATTTGATGAATTGAGTATGCAGGCTAATGTTCGATCGTTCGGTTATCATGTTCATTGATGATATCTTGGTGTATTACAAGATCAGAGAGCAGCATGGGGAGCATCTTCGTGAGCTTCTGGGGGTTTTGAGGCGAGAATGGCTTTATGCTAAGTTGTCGAAGTGCGAGTTTTGGTTACGAGAGGTTCAGTTCCTTGGACACCTCATTAACCAGGATGGTATATTAGTCGATCCGGCCAAGATCGAGGCTGTGATGCAGTGGGAGGTTTCGAAATCCCCATCGGATGTCAGGAGTTTCTTGGGATTGGTAGGGTACTATCGAAGATTCTTTCAGGATTTATCCAAGATTGCAATACCCCTCACTCGTCTGACGAGGAAGGGGGTGGATTTCCGATGGGGCCCTGAGCAGCAATCGACATTCGAGACCCTTCGGCAGAGATTATGTGAGGTCCCAGTTTTGAGTATCCCAGAGGGAATTGAGGATTTTGTGGTATTCTGTGATGCATCCATCACTGGTTTGGGGGCGGTCCTCATGCAGAGAGGACGTGTGATAGCTTATGCTTCGCAGCAGCTAATGCCGCACGAGACGCGATATCCTACACATGATCTGGAGTTGGGGGCAGTGGTTTTTGACCTCAAGATTTGGAGGCTCTATCTTTATGGGGTCCGCTGTACTATCTACACGGATCACAAGAGTCTGAGGCATATTATGGATCAGCCGAACCTGAACATGAGGCTGCGCAGGTGGCTGAACGTAGTCAATGATTATGACTGCGAGATCCTTTACCATCCGGGTAAAGCAAATGTGGTGGCGAATGACTTGAGCCACAAGTCGGCTGGGTCTTCAAATGGGTATCATGTATGAGGGTCTTAGTGGATTCCTCGCTTTTGGGATTGATTAGGGAGGCTCAGGACGAGGGTGTTCGGGAAGAGAACTGGAAGAAAGAGAGGATTAGGGGTGAGATTGCCAAATTTATCCCGGATGGCCATGGGTTGTTGACCTGATGTGGTCGGGTCTGGGTTCCGATGTCTAGTGGAGTCAGACATATTGTATTAGAGAAGGCTCATAAATCTCATTTTTCTATCCATCTAGGGCCCACCAAGATGTACCGGGATCTGAGATTGAGCTATTGGTGGTCGTGTATGAAGAGGGAGATAGCCTGGTACGTGGAGAGATGCATGACCTGCAGGATGGTCAAGGCTGAGCATCAGAGGCCGCATGTCAAGCTGCAGCCTCTGGAGGTTCCCATGTGGAAATGGGAGCATATTTCGATGTACTTCATCACCAAGTTGCCGAAGACGACAAAGGGTTTTGATGCTATTTGGGTCATCGTGGATCGATTGACCAAGAGTGCCCACTTTCTGGCGATTCGGGAGAGTTCTTTGGCCGAGAAGTTGGCCGATGTGTATATTCGCGAGATCGTTGCTCGCCATGGGGTTCCAGTCTCCAAGTGGGGGAGAGTTGTAACACCCCGGTATTCAGGTACTTTCAAGTTCATCCTTATGGTTTTAATTTATGTCATTTTGGTCCCTATAATAGAAGCAAGTAGCCATGAGAAGCCCTAGTGGCAATTTTTTAATTTTGGGATAGGAGGAGTACGCTAAGTGTACATGAGGGTACGCTGAGCATACTAGGGCGCGCCCTAATACGCTGGGCGTATACTTATGTAAGTTGGGATTTAAGTTTTCTCTATTGATAACAATAAACAATTGAACATCAAGAACCCTAAGGAGGCCCTACTATAATCGAAATTGCAAGGGATTTAGGGTTTACATACCTTTTGATTATTGTTGCAAATAATCAAAGTAGTTCCTTTCTTTTGATCTCTTGGAAAGCTAGCACCAGAAATTCAATGACTCTAATGGTTTATACCCAAACCCTAGTAATAGAAGACTTTAGAGGAGAGAGGAGAGAGGATGAATTTTTTAGCTATTCTTCCAAGAAAAGGAGTGGCCAAAAATCATAGGCTAAGGACCCTATTGTAAAATGCATAAATAGTTCTAGAAAAATCCAATAGGCATGAGGTCAGAGTCTGAGTTTATATGAACTAGTCTAGTTTAACATATAATTTTTCCATGGAATAGTTCTTATTCCTTCCAGAGTTTTGGTGACCATTTTTACTGATTTGTCCAGAAAAATGGTTGATTTTTATAATCAAATTGTGAAATCTATAGTATAGAAAATGATAGAAAAATCATTAGAACATGTGTTTTATATAAAAACATAAGGGGATGTTCGTTAATAACAAGTATTAAACTTTCAAATAAATGGGAATAAGAGGGGTAAATTGGTTCACAAACCGGTTGTTAAAACAATAATAAAGGTGAATAATGAGTATATTATGAAATATTATTAACTAATACTCAAATTTAAACTAAGTAAAAATTATTGATATGAGATGTAGGTGTTCAGGGAGCTGAGCATCCATCTTAGCAACGATAGTAGTTTTGTGTTGTGAATTATCGAATCAGATGAGTTCACTTTTCTATACATGGTATTATGTGTTTTCATGTGTATGCTTAGTATGTTTGATGTAAGACTATGGTTGTGATCATTTCATTAATATGTTTGATGTGTGACTATGGTTGTGTCCATAATATTTTTTTTGACAAATATAAGACTATTGTTGTGACCATAGAATTTTCATGATAAATAAAAGACTATAAGGGGGGGGGGGGGTTATATCAATCTAAATTGTACTTAATTATGTGGCTCATTACATATAGTAGCTTGTATATATAATATGAGATCCCTAGATGTTTTTGCTTACCTGTTGTTTATTAACATTTTTAAGGAAATGACACGGATGGACTGCTATGAGCTCTCATAAACTTAATCAAAGATTTTTATGGTTTTAATTTAATCCTTTATAATATTATGATGATGTAACTTAGATTTTCGACTTCTGTATTTTTATTATAATAAATCCTTTATTAAACTTCGATAAATGGTTTATAAAATATTAGGTTGTTACACAATGTTAACTCACATGATATCTTAGATTGTTTTTAGAATCAAGAAAAATGATAACTTCCAAAATGTAATCTATGTTTGGAAATTTAATTTTAGTTTTAATGTTTTCTTATTCAAAACATTTTCTATCTCACAGTGATTTAACCCATATCAATTATATGAAAGCATACAAATTTTCTTAGGCATTGTATTGTTATTATTTTCAAATAATTATATAAGAGCATACAAATTTTCTTAGGCATTGCATTGTTATTATTTTCAAATTAACATATGTGGAATCTTTTATTAGCAAATGTTCTGTTGGATTAGATGTCTAAGCCCATAACTATTATTGGTATGTATTCGACCCGAGAGTAGCATGGTCCATTTGGGTTGCGTGACATCGGAACAATTGGATAGACAAAATGAGAAAAAGGATAATTATGATTTATATTAATACATTATAAGTTCTAATATATTAATATGAAATCATATTATTTAATTAGTATTGATCAAAAATTAATTTAGTAATAAAAAAAGGAACTAATTAAATATGGACTCTTATAAATAAAGATAGATAAAAGACCTAATCTAAACCCTAAAAGGCTTGGGCCTAGAACCTAATCACTAACAATCACATAATTACATTTTGGCATCACACCTCATCCAAATACATGTTCATAAACTATGCTTTGGTACCTATAAGCTCATACATATTTTTACAAAATAATAATAATAATAAATATAAAAAAAAAACATACCCTTAGTCGGTACACTATCAATTACAAAACATCATTCAAGGAGTGCATCATCATTTCATGAGTTTTTGAACCTACATGCATTCTCTTTAACAAAGATCCGACAACCATATGTTGAGAAGATGAGATCGACAAGCAATGGTAATTGTAATGTTACGAAGGAGGCAATTGGAAGACATGTTAATGTTGCTATTGGTATCAAAATCCATGCCTTCCCTTGTCCAAAGGTAAGATACAATGTCGCACTAAAGGCTACCATCATTGAGCTGATAGACAAGAATAACATTGCCAGGCCGAGTATTAATCTCTTAGGTAACTTATAGAGAAAATCTTCCTCTGCATAACGTACTGTGAGAATCGATAGAAACAAAAGCAAGGAAGTGGTAGATGTGAACAATGAGATTGCATCTGAAACCGCAAATATTATGAAACTGGGTTTTGGTGCATAAATTGCTTTTCCAGTATCGCTATCATTTCCACCGGGTACAGTGATGGCTGCAGCAAAAACGATTGTAATGATGAGTGCAGCTGTAATTGTGTATGAATCTGCTGTCTTTTTCATCCACTCTTCACCTTCTTTTCTCAACTTTTTATGTTCTCTTCTAAACACCATAATTGGTGTCTCTTGGTTTTTGTTCTTTGATTTCTCATGCCAAGGACACACGAAGTTTTTCACTTCCTGTAAAGATAACAACAAACGTTAATCAAAGTAAATTTAAACTAAGTTATTAACGTAAGAAAAACGTGTTCACCTCAAACCATTGCAACTCTCTTTGCATTTGTAGAGCTGCACCAGAAACTAGATTGAGTTTGTGTATAGGCGCTAATTGTCCAGCTAAGTGCAAAAGATTGTTTCCATATTCGTCAACACGCACTTTTTGTGAGTGTTTGTCAATAGTTACTTGGTGTACAAAAAAGTTGTAAACCCTTTCACAACAGTTTAGAATAGCCAACTGAATAAGGGGATATTCATTGTCCTTTGTTGAAATTGCTTGTGGAAAATATCGGATGATCTCTTCTACTGCTTCAGGATTATCATGTTCCACTGCCATAGTAATTGCTTCGTGGTAATGTTCACGGATTTTACAAAATTCATTTATTTTACTAACTTCTTCGCATATACACTTCAGTAGCACAAGAGCTTTACTGTGGCTCACTTTCTCTTCCTTGATTTGCTTGATGTGTGGCACTGTGGTTATTTGATAATTTCCAACTAATTAAATTTCAGTGTAGTTGAATCAAGATTCTAACACTTGTATAACTTTTTTAGTTAATTAGTTCTTAATAGGCAGTTCATAGGAATAAAATAACTACCGATGAAATCTTGTATTTCACAATTAATGGTTGTATCATATATATAGGACTAAAGGAGGGAGAAACTAATGTCCTTAAGTATAATATAGACAAAATTGAAAAAATGGTCAATGTGGTATGCATTTTTTTGGAGTTTCAGTCCAAACCTCGACTTTTTTGGATTCATGGTCCTTTTGGCCTAGTTTGTACGTAGAATTGGTTCCCCGACTTAACTTCCGTTAAGTTATTGCTGTTAACCCCCTCATGTGCCTCCCACATGAGGGTATATTTGTCTTTTCACTTATAAGGGACCATTTTTGCACCTAAAAAATATATCCCCCCTTTTTTTAAAAAAATTTAATACCTATTTATTTATTTTAATAATTAAAAAAATAAAAAGGTCTCTCTCTCTCTCTCTCTCTCTCTCCACCCAAAACACAGTCAAGAACATATACATACATACTCCATTTTTTTCTTGATGATGGTCCCTAGAATCGATTTGTGTATGGGTTTTGTTTCTGCAAATCGATTTATGGGTGTATATTCATCTACAATTTCGATTTGTGTCTGTGTATTTTCATTTTTGAAGGTGTGTCTGGGTTTTGTTTCAACCACCATCTCCAACCCTGGGTTTCAGATTTGTAATAAATGTAGTTTTTAGATCGAGTAAGGAAAGAAACGAGTGAGGCAGACGATTGGAGTCTCCGGCAGTGGCTGGCAATTATGAGGAGGGGTGACGTCGATCTCCGGTTAGCCCTCCTTCACTGTTCCTTTTCCCGATTCAGCATCAAAACACACATGGGAGGGAGGCAGTTGTAGTCTGCGATCAAAGGGAGTGTCATAGGTGCTCAATCGGACCGATGAAGGAAGAATAAGATCGGAAGCAACAAGGGCTGCTTAAGCATTGATCTACGAAGGAGAAGGAAGGAAGGAAGATCCGAGGGAAACAGGTAAGCTGCGACAATAACTTCGGTAAGGAAAGGTGCAAAAGGGGGAAGATGCGATGAACAACCGAAGGAGGTGGCGAGGCTGCTCCCCGACGAGTCTCATCGTGGTTTCTTTCTCTTCATCGATAGCAACGATTCGGAAGGGAATCAGAGCAACTGCAGCAACAACAATTGAGGTGGGGTGTTTGGGGTTGTGCTTTTTCGACTGTAGGAGGGTTGCGGAGGTGTTGAACATCGATTGCAGTCGTCGAGAGGGTTGTAGCTCCTCTTGACCTCGCCAGAAACAACCATCCAAGGGCGTGTGTTTGTTTGTTTGATGCTCGACAGGGGATTTCGGGTGATGCTTCTTCAACAATGGTGTTTAGGAAGAGAGAGAGAGAGAGAGAGAGAGAGAGAGAGAGAGAGAGAGATAAATATGGTCCCTTAGGTATTCATTTAAAAAAAAATAGGTATTAATTTTTTAATTATTAAAATAAATAAATAGGTATTAATTTTTTTTAAAAAAGGGGGATATATTTTTTTAGCTGCAAAAATGGTCCCTTATAAGTAAAAATACAAATATACCCTCATGTGAGAGACACATGAGGGGGTTAACAGCAATAACTTAACGGAAGTTAAGTCGGGGGACCAATTCTACGTACAAACTAGGCCAAAAGGACCATGAATCTAAAAAAGTCGAGGTTTGGACTGAAACCCCAAAAAATACATACCACAGGGACCATTTTTGCAATTTTGTCTATAATATATAAAGAAGATATCCTTCCATGAAAACATATTTGTAAGAAAACTAGAAAATGAAGGAATTAATGCATTTAAAAGGAACCAACAAATTTTCATTACCATGTTGTAGTGCAACTTTCCAAAATCTGACATAAATCCACTGGATTACTGCAAAACAAAGTAAATAAGAATGATTATAAAAATAACGAAATATAATTATGTAAAATTTGGTTAAGAAAATAAATGTACAAACAATCGGGCTAGAAAATACTAAGGGAATACAGATAAACCTATGTGTATAATTCACTATTCGTATATGTACATTATGTTTCTTGTTGCTCTAATATGATAAAATGTTTGTTAATTAGATATGTAGAGGCAGATGGAACACCTATGTTAGTTATATATATCTAGAGCCCTTTGGGAGGAGAGGGTAGACCCTACATAAATAGAGACAATAGAACTATCAACTATGTCTAAGCCAATATAGAACACCAACAATGAGCCTAGTTGTAACAACTAGGTGACAAAATACTAAATACTAAAGTTTTATTGAGCCAGTAACGGTTATAATGTGTTTATGACTATGAGGTACTATGTAGTTTCACATTGGTACATACTCTAATATTATAATGTCTTCACATTTGTTAAAATACATGCATACATTAAAACGATCTAACTATGTCAATGGCAAAAATGTCCTATGGTAAGTAGGGCTGTAAATGAACTGAAAGCTCGGCGAACCGTTCATGAACTGTTCCGTGGGAAATTCATTTATGTTCGTTTATTTAATAAATGAACAAACATGAACACAAATTCTCGTTCGTTTAGTTAAACGAACGAACATGAACAATGGTCTCGTTCGTTCATTTACGTTCGTGAACGTTTGTTTATGTTGTTCGTTTACGTTCGTTTATGTTCGTTCGTTTAAGTTTTTTTATGTTCATATATTTTTAATTGTTTTTTTATTACATTACTATATAATAGTTCGTTTATGTTCATATATGTTCAATTGTATTTGTTTATCTTTGTTCGTGTCTGTTCGTTCGTTTATGCTCGTTTAGCATGTTCACGAACATAAACGAACGAACATGAACAAGACAATTTGTTAAACGAACGAACATGAACAAGAAAACTCCGTTCGTTTATCCGTTCGTGTTCGTTCGATTGCTCGGCTAACTTAAATGAACGAACATGAACAAGCCTTTGTTCATGTTCGTTCGGTTCGTTTAGAGCCCTAATGGTAAGGACGTAATAAACTGTTACTTAATTACAATATGTGTGGAGACCAAATACTATGCTTTAATTTATAATGTATTAATTAGTAGTCAAGTCAAACATTAGTACGATAGTAGATGCATGATTTAGCTCATCATTCAGAGTTTTTGAACCACAAACCAGGGTAGAAGAACCTCATTATTATGCACTTGGTTATTGAATTCATTACACTTTTAGGATCACAAACCAGGGTGGAGCCAGCTCCTTCTATGCTTGGGGATAAAGTTCGCATTATCTGTCTCTTGGTTCTCAATATCCTGAATCTCATGTCCTCTGTTTAATTCCCCATCCTCTACAGGTACATCTTCAAAAAAAATAGCCTCTTACTTTGATAAAATTTAAATAGCCTCTTACTTTTTCTTCCTACTTACCTTCCTACCCATGTAAAATAATGACAAATATCATATTTTGATAAAATTAATTATATTTTAAGATATTTGTCATATCATTTCAAATGGCTAGGAAGATATTTAGGAAGAAAAGTAGAAAGAATATTCAATTTCTCATTTAGATATTCTAGGAAGATATTTAGAAATGAGAAATTAAATATCCTCCTACTTTTTGTTCCTACAGATCTTCCTACCCAATGAAATAATGATATGTGTAACATTTAATGCTCATTTAATGATATTTTAATACACTAATATGACACATGTCATCATTTAATTGGGTATGATGATTTGTAGGAACAAAAGTAGGAGGATATTTAATTTCTCTTTAGAAATATTTAGGAAGAAAAGTAGGAGGATATTTAATTTCTCATTTTTAGATATTGTAGCAGTTTTGCTATGGTTGAGATGGATTCTCATGATCCAGAAAATTGATAGAAACGCCACTGATACGCGGTTATTATTTAAGAGCAGGTGAAGAAACATACGAGAATAAATAAATCTTTCATAAAAGTTGTATCCTTTTCCACTAAAACAACCGTCCAACTTTCCAGCGATAGACTTTAATGGAATTGAGTTCTCTTTCTTTTTTGTAGCCATTTCCGGGTACTCCTTAATTAACCCATATGCCACATCTGCAAATGGGTTTTACAAATCTTTAAATAAACATAGAATGATAGACAATAAGACGTTAAATAAATATATCTATATCTATATATAATAAAAAGACGTATAATGGATGTGTTCTTAATATATACTAAATTTATAGAAACATATCCACTTTACATTATGTAATAGGGATTTCAAACTCTTGTGAGAAGCGAAACACTCTGTTTACCCTTAAAGGGGCTCTGATATCCTTCTTGTTCGGAGAGTATAATATTATCTTTAGTAACCTTAAGCAAATATAGAAAAGTGTCTGTGTGAGAACCAAAAATAGCTCTATGAACAGGAAAGCAGTTACTTCCGTCAGCAATGAATAACAAATATGGGTTTTTCGCCACCAACATCTCCGCAGCCCTTGTGTTGCCAACAAATGCAGCGTAGTGTAGTGGGTTTGACTTTCTAATATTCACCATGTTTGGAAGTGACTCCGAGGTTATCTCCTTCAGAAGATTCTCAACAAACTGGATATTTTTACATGTTCCAATTGCAACATGGAGTGGGGTATCGTTGTCGTCATTGAGCTTAACCACTAACGCGTCTTTGTCCTTGTTGAAAATGTCTTCGGCTTCCTTCCAGTCGCCTCTCAATAGCTCTATACAGTGGTAAATACTCCGCTTGATCTATTTCCATATTAAGAGATTACATAACCTTATTCCGAAGTAGTACTTTGGAAGAAACAAACAAGAATATAAAAAGTACCTTTTGTGTTCGTAGTGGGAGAATAAGCAGGAGGAGTACTGTTACTGTAAGTAGACTTTAGCTTTCTCCATACTTCATTAGCTGTGTGGAGGCCGATAACAGTATCCATCACATCTTCACATAATGAACCAAAGATCCATCCTTTCATAAGTGTGTCAGACCTTTTCCATTCCCTATACTTATCCTCAATTGCAGTTATCTACTTTCTTTTTTGAATCGACGTTTTTCTTGGGGTTTCCAAATGTGCCATCGACGAAACTGAGCATATCATGGCTCTCTACAAGGCACATCATCTGTTCCTGCCACCGAGCATAGTTGGTTTTACCAGATAGTTTAACAGAAAGAAAGCTGGATGCATTCACATGAGAAGGATACGGGTATTGTTGTAACCCTGTTATCATATAGGATTGATAGTCGTGTTAGTTTGTTGTATAACTGTAAAAATATGAAAGAGATTAAACTGTGATAATGGAAGTTTGGAACCATACCTTGGTTAATAGTCCCGCTGCAAAAAGTGCCTGAGGAAGCCATTAGCAGAGGGAAAGCAAACGTCTTATGAAGATAAAGGTCCTTTTTCCTAGAAACGATATTAAATAACAAAGTGGACCATTCAATAATGAGTGATCCACCTCTTTGTGGTTCTAATAGTTTTATTATAATAGACTCTTCTCGTTAATGTAAGCGACATTTAATGTCCTGACATACACGTACCCTTTATTTCGATAAAATCAAACTTGAAAAAGCTAGAGTAAATTACAGTTTTGGTCCTGTGGTTTGTCCCAATTCCAAGGTTTGGTCCAACCTTTGAAATTTTGATAGGACCCATCCTTGTGGTTTTAAAAAATTGCAGTGGTTATCCTTGAGTCATACGTAGGGATGCAAACGGGTCGGGATTCCCCGCTACCCGTGGGGACCCGACCCGAACGGATCGGGGATTTTCCGCCTTAGCGGGTAAAGGATCGGGGATGGGGATTAGATATCTTACCCGAAGCGGGGATGGGGCGGGGACGGACATAGTATTATCC